TTCCAGACAACTGACCTGTTAAGATCTTTTAAAAGGGAAATAAATGCACAATGATTACAGTTTAATTGATAAATAGTCAGATATTCACACTATCATAATGTCTCACAAAACTGTACATTTGTAAGTAGTAAGGTCATCAGTAACACAAATAACAGGAAATATTTAAGCACACCTTTGGTCAAACATTAAAGGTTTAGAAACCAATAGAACTGGAGTGCCTGATAATGTACCCTTTTGGTCTCCAAATTCTACTACTCATTCACAAAGCTGTGCCCCGCACCCTCCCCCTGCCCCAGGCCATTTCATCCACCCAGCTCTGGCTAGGAGTTGGAAGGGCTGTAAATATATTTGGGATGGAAAAGTTCTTGGGTTTCAGGGATAGAATTTATCTACTTTATTTCAAGAAATTTTGATGAGATTTTCCTTAAGAGATACAGAAGAGATACCAGTGATACAGTGCAATTATTGTACAAACATTCAGATGTATGGTAATAACAAGTCAGTATTATACAATACTGCAGAATCGTATCATTCTTGTATTGTAGTAGACCAAGTCATTCGGATTCATCTTTTTATTCCACTAATTATACCAGTCTATTTTCATCACATCAGGTAGATATTAGTTATTATACTACATTGCAACAGGGAATCAGCATCTAAATTTTCCATGTACATTTGAATGTCTCATTGTTGTTTTTAAAAACTGATTTTCCCCATGGCATATTATATATTAGGATCCCATTTTACTTCTCCAGTGTTTAAGGGGAAGGTGTTTTTCCATCTTTTGGCTATGTTAAGTTTAACTGTATAGTAAGTAGTGGGTGAATAATAGGTTCTACAATTGATAGATTGTTAACTCCAATACATTAAAGGGCTATTTCTTTGGAATGGAATCATCAGTTGAGCTGTGATTTCTGACATATTCATAAAAATATGATTTCAGTACAATAATAATGATTTTCAATGCCATAAGATGTGTATTGTATGGTGCTTAAGGATGGAACATTGCTAGTAACGGCAGATGTGGCATCATTATATACCTGCATTCCGCATGGGCTGGGTCTTAATGCCGTTGAATATTATATTACCAAGGATACACGGATCCTGGAGGCTCAAAAGGAATTCATTATGGAACTCTTGGTATTTGCTACTCATCACAATTATTTTTGGTTTGACAAGCAATCCTATATCTAAAGGAAAGGAGTAGCCACGGGGGCTAAATTTGCCCCTAGTATGGCTAATTTATTTATGGCCAAATTGGAGGGGGATGAGATATACTCCTGCATGCGACCCCAGTTATGTCTGTTGGTAAGATATATTGATGATATCCTCCTACTTTGGGAGGGAGATTGAATAACCTTACAAATGTTTATAGATGAGTTGAATAGGAATAATAGGGGAATTTCATTATCCTTTCAAGCAAGTTCAAATTCTATACAATTTTTGGATTTAGAAATTAAGGTGAACAACAACCAAGTGTCAACCAGTGTCCACTGATCATAATTCTTTTATTCCTACTGATAGTTGTCATCATAAGACATGGTTAAAATCAGTACCCCAGAGCCAATTCATCAGGTTGAGACATAATTGCTCCAAATTGGAGGATTACATGGAGCAAGCTAAGACCCTTAAAAAACAATTTGTTGAAAAAGGTTACAATGAACATCTCATGGAAGTAGAAATAATGAATATTAAACAGATCAGTAGAGATATTCTATTGGAGGATAGAATTAAACAAGATGACTCTGATAAATTTAAATGGTCCTTCATTACCACATATTCGACCCAACATAGGCAGATACAAAACATCTTTAAAAAACATTGGGGAGTTCTCAAAAACAATAAGGTTTTGGGTCCATCTCTCCCAGATAGACCAGCTGTGGTAATTAGAGGACTATCTTCACTTCATGCTAGAGTGGCACCAAATGTTGCCGATCCCCCTGAGCAACTTACATTTTTTCATGATCTCAAAGGGTATTATCCATGCAAGAAATGTTGTGTCTGCCAAATGCGATAATTTCAAACCCACGGTTACTTCCAAGGAGTATTCCATAAAATCATTTATCACATGTACTTCAAAAAATGTGGAATATCCAATCATTTGTCCTTGTGGGAAACAATATGTAGGTAGAACCATTAGGTCCTTTTCAGTACGAGTGAACAAACACATTAGCATTAACACATAGGCAGCACAGTGGCTAAATGGTTAGCACTTCCGCCTGGCAGTACTCAGGTCGTTGGTTTGAATCCCAGCCAAGGCACCACCTGCCTGGAGTTTGCATGTTCTCCCTGTGCTTGCGTGGGTTTCCTCCAGGTACTCTGGTTTCCTCCAACACTCCAAAGACATGCTGGTAGGTTAATTGGCTCCTGTCTAAATTGTGCCTAGTATGTGTATGTATGAATGTGAGTTAGGGACCTTAGATTGTACGCCCCTTGAGGGTTAGGGACTGATGTGAATTTACAATATATATGTAAAGCGCTGCATAAATTGACGGCGCTATATAAGTACCTGAAATAAATAAATTAATAAACAATATCGAAAAAGGCAATAAGGGACATAGTGTTCTCCATCACAATAAAGATATAAGGGGGACCAAATTTTTGGCGATAGATATAAAGCACCATGGCATGGGGGTTCCTATAAAAGGGGAGTGTCTCAATTAGAGACAAGTTGGATTTATGAACTTAAATCTTTTTTCCCCTATGGCATGAATGTTGAGTGGGACATTAATTCTTTTATTAGCAATGCTTGAGTTATAAATACATAAAAGTGCAGCGCTTAAAAAGTTACAAATAATCATAAGAAAACAGTGAAAAAATGTGTCAAAAAATACTCATCCAAAAATAAAATAAAATAAAAGTCCCAGAGGCTGTGATGAAACAAAAGAAATCCAAGGACAGTTGTCATGTTGCCAACCACTACTACAGAAGGCTTACCAGAAAGGCATGACCCCCTGTCAAGAGCGGTCAATCACGCTTTATTAAACAATCCAGAAAGCCGGTCACTCGAATCCTCCTCCAGATCACCAAAACAGCAGATAAGGATCTTCCAAACAATGGACCTTAATTAGGGTAGTCAAACCATTCAGGATAAGGCTTGGACTCCACAAAGTGTAGAACCATAATCACAAGCATTTATTTAAAGTATGGTTACACTTACATGTAAGCAAACATCATTAGGCATTGATTTACAAAAAAATCCAAATTATCCAGTTTCCAAAATGGCCACTGGCCATTCGTGCATGCTCAGTAGCGTGTGTGCGTGGTTCCATCCTACGTGCTTCATCACAGGTAACGTCATCAGGGGCACTTGATTTTTGGAAGCTGAAAAATTTTGATTTTTTGTCAATAAATGCCTAATGATGCCCCAGACGACGCCATATGTGATGAAATGCAGCAGATTGAGCTTGTGCCTCTGACGTCTACACGCTACTCTCTAACACCAGGAAGTGTACCTGTTTCTAGGACAGAAGAACACTCACCTGAATGTGAGTGCAATACTTTATGATAATAAACATGGTTTATGCGATGGTCACCCCTTTGTCTTTTTTTGCATGGCCATACTGAGAGGTATTATCATGAGATTAAGAATGGGGAGGAATTAAAGGTGATACTTCCATCCAGTACCACGATATAACATCTTCTAATTCTGAGAGATTTGATGGATATATTCTCATACGTTTGTGACTCTTTTATAAGTGTCCACATGTTCTGGTAAGAGTCCTACATTTTCTGGTGGTGGAGCACTAATTATATTGAAGATACATTGTGACTACATAACATTGGGACTATTTGTTTCTACATTTGGACTCATTTATGTTATTACTTATTTGGTTGTGACAGATTCTGAGTTGTGACATTTGAGCATGGCAATTTATTTACAATATTTGTATGCAATTGACCTGATTGTCTTGCCAGCAGCTATTTTTTCACTGTTTGCTCAGCTTTTTTCGTTTCTTTTTGTGTATTAGAGAGCCTAGAGAACCAAATTCCCTCCAGCCCTGGGTGGAGTTGGATGGTTAAAACTTGGATGGCTTGTACTGGTAAGGTACCATCTCTATTGTACTATTCTAGTTTATTGTACTACTGTAGTCTGAAGTAGTCCCCAGTTGTTCGCTCAATGGAATGAATGGAAATTATATTGAACAGCTTTTTTTTTCCATTTTTAAGATGGGGAATTTTTGCTCATATCTTTTTCCCTTCTTAACAGTAATTTTTTTGGAATCAAATTTTCAGGTTAAATTCATTATATAAAGAGATTCCCATACCATGGATTGCGATGTGATCTGGGAAGCAGGATATGTTTTGGTTCATATAGAATGACGTTTCTACATATTTACTCTGGAAGAAGTAATTGTTTTGAGAGCATTTATAGTCATTCTTTAGTTGAATATGTTATTCTGTTTTTAGCGCATCAAAGGATTTCAAGAGATCTAGTGTATGAATATTATAGATACCCAGCGTAAATCAGGATGTAAGGTTTAAACATGGAATGAAACATTCAAAACTTTCAACTGGGATCACATTTTTGGGTCATCTGGATGCTTTAGGGTTTGGTCCAGTTGTCTACAACCTTATAAAATAGCTTATATAGTGGTATAATTAGAGTTGGTATTCTCCCTGTCCTACTTCATGTCGAGTTAAGTTTTACGCTAGAAGTAGATATCTGGGTTGGTCAGCAATTGTTCATAATTTATAGGTAGATTATTGAGTCAGATGTTCAGGAATATTGAAATTGTGTTTGAAGAATCTGTTTTTGAGTTCTAATAACTAAAATATAGTTTTTGTTGATTTTGTAAAATGAAACATTTCCATATGAATGAATGTTGTTTGTATGGCAAGGAGTGATATTAAAGGGTTGGATATCATGAGAGCTACATCATCTGCAAACAGATCTAAACAGTACCATTCTCCTGGCAACCACCAAACCCAGACACGTCCATCAGATTGCCAAACAGAGAGATGTGATTTATCACTCCAGAGAACAAGTCTTCACTGCTCTAGAGTCCATTGGTGGCGTGCTTTATACCACAACATCCAACAATTTGCATTGCACTTGGTGATGTAAGGCTTGGATGCAGCTGCCCGTTTATGGAAACCCATTCCATGAAGCTCTCTACGGACTGTTGTTGTGCTAATATGAAGGCGACACGAAATTGGAGGTCTTTAGCTATTGACTCTGCACACAGTTGGCAACCTCTGCGCACTATGCTCTTCAGTATGCGCTGACCCCATTCTGTCATCTTACGTGGCCTACCACTTCGTGGCTGAGTTGCTGTTGTTGACCAGTTGCTTCCACTTTGTTATAATACCACTAACAGTTGGCTGTGGAATATTTAGTAGCAAGGATATTTCATGGATGGACTTATTGCACAGGTGGGAGCCTATCACGGTACCACGCTTGAATTCACTGAGCTCCTGAGAGTGACCCATTCTTTCACAAATGTTTGTAGAAGCAGTCTGCATGCCTAGCTGCTTGATTTTATACACCTGTGGTCACGGAGGTGATTGGAACACTTGAATAAAATGATTTGGAGGGGTGTCCTAATACTTTAATCCTTTTGGTAATATAGTGTATATATATATCTCCTTTCCTCCATCAGTTTTGTCATGCTTATGGAACCCCTAGCACAATTAATAAGAAATAACCCTCTCTTTTCTAGTATAAGAGAGCGTTGCCAGCTTGTACACCGGGTGACACTGACCGCACGGGGTGACACTGGACTCGCTCCCAAAAAGGTAACTTGTAAAGCAAGCCGACAAAACGAAAGGATCGTCGGCTTTCTTTACAACTTACCTTTTCTTGGAGCAGGTCCGGTGTCACCCCGTATAGGTGAATTCGAGCCTTGTAGGTTTAGCTCCGCCCACATGTAGGCTGCGAGTGTGCAGGTCTGCCTTTTGCCAGCTAAAGCTCCGCCCACCGTGATGCAATCGTCGAGTTAGCCCACCTTTTGGGCGCACTGCCCCCTGCCCGTTACCTAGGAGACGCGTCCTCTGGACTGGTGTGCAACACAGCAGGTGCCATAGAGAGTGCATGAGAGAGCCACAGACATACAGCGAGATCTACAGGGAGAGGCCAGGGTAAGTGTACCCGCTGGGGTGTCATATACGGGCAATATGGAGGCAGGGCCACTGTGCACCTGTGTCCCTCAGATCACCCCCTCCCCTCACATCTGTCTATTTCAGTGTTTGATGGAGAGGGGGATGGGTGAGAACCCCTTTACATCCTCGTTGGGGAGATTCACTCTCCTGGTGTCCCCTAGAGAGGAAGTGATGGGGACCCAAACCTTTACAGTTGTCACCAAAACAAGAAGTGATGAGGAAACCTCCCATTGGGGACACCAACGGCCTAAGAGGAGATTTCCTCGCACTTCTTGTTGTGTGACACTGGAAACGGAAATGCACAGGCAACACTTTTATTGTCTCCGGCGTCATCTTCCTCCGAACTTATTTTGTCACCCAATCAGCTTGCAAGCTAGGTCTTCTCCCTGCCCCCATCAAAGGGGCGGGGGCAAGATCCATGCCCTTATATGGGCACGCAGCCTCACACAGGGCCCGCTCACACCACTTTGCGGTGCAGGAAACGCGCTTTTCCCGCACCGCACGGGTCCGGCTGCCCTTTGTAGATGAGCGCAGGTGCCTTTAATTGTTAACACCACCCCCACGCACCTGGAAAATAGGGGTGCGATCACGCCACGCCAAACTGCGTGTTACTTCAGCACCATGCGGTTTTGGTGCGGCACCATTTTACGGCCTCATCCATGCTGGATGTTTTAGCACTGTTTTTATGCTTCCATGTGTTTCGAGGCAGAAAAAAAATGCGACCAGCGTGGTAGCAGCAGCAGCAGCATTTTGGCAGAAAATAATATTTGATGCGAGTAAACGTGCGCTACTGCGGGGATCGTTGGCTACTGCGGGGATCGTTGGCATGCAATCTATATGGGGTTACACCGGACCCGCTCCAAAAAAATGGTAAGTTGTAAAGAAAGCCGACAATCCCCGCAGGATGGATCGGATCTGCGGATTGATCATAATGGATCGGAGTCCAATCCATTATGCTCAATCCGCAGATCTGATCCATTCTGCGGGGATCGTCGGAGGGGGTGTCACCAAGTGTCACTGCACCGGGTGACACCAACCCTAGGGACGCCTCTGCTAGACCTCCAACCAAGTCTGGCTCGGTGAGACTGGACCAAGCTGTATTTTATATGATGTGCCCTTGACAATGTTATCTTTTGTGAGTATATTACCAATTCTTTTATACAATAAATGTTTTTTTGAGATAATTCACTAGGCCTCTATTTGTTCTCTTTTGCTTGCAGTACATTTGGATTTCCCTGATCCATTGAGGGCAGCAAGGCATGCACTGTTTAAGGCATCCCACATGTGGTTATAGCCTCTGTAGAGTCCTTCTTCCAGTGCAGGAGTAAATGCATATGCCATTTTCTATATCAGTCATTCAAAGTGTGACAGCACTGAAAGCTGAAAATTGGCCTGGGCAGGAAGGGGGTATAAGTGCTCGGTAGGCAAGTGGTTAACCAAACATTTAGCTCCAGTTATCCTAATATTTAAATAATTCATACAATATATGCATATTTATAATTTATTAATATTGACAACATATTTATTGGGTGGATTTTTTCTAATGCTATCCTTGGATTTATGATCCAGTTTTTCCATCCCAAACACTACTGCCATTTGTCTCTTCCCAGTTAGATCCCAGCCCTGCTTTGTACATGTTGAAGCTCTGCTGTGCAAAGATGGTCAGCTGTTTTTCTGCATTAATGTGACTCCATAACCTGTTTTTAAGGCATCACATTCTACTACCACTGTTTCATCTGGATTAAAATATTTGTGGACATCTGTATCTGCAACAGCCTGGAATGCCCCATCCTGTGTAGTCCATTCCCAGCCCAAATCTTTCTGAATTATGTGTATCAAATACCCACAGCTATCAGAGTGACATGTACAGTATTTGGAAAAAGTGGTCATAAACACTAAAGGGTTTTTTTTTTTCTTGGGGATCCCATTGCATAGAGAAGATAAATATACACCTGCTTATCATTTTAAACTACATTCATTTTAACAATACCATGAAATTGTGAGATGGGGAAACAGCTTTCATTGTTTGAACACTGTTTGTGTCCAGCAAATTATTGTGTGGAGTAAATTAAATGTTCTGGAGTGACTTTCTGCGGTTTAGCCACAAGATGTCACTGTTTTCCTAACACAGCCTCAGACTGCATAGATATTTCTATATTCATGAAGAGGTGGGGTTTTTCACACAGAGTTTAGAGAACAGGAAGGGGAGAGAAAGCAGCCATGTTTTAGAGGATGGTGAATGCAGGAGCCATGTGAGCAGAGAATCTGATGGTATCCAGATGTAAGAGCTTCCCTCAGTAACCAGAGCTGCAGCTAAGTGAAACTGATCGTGTCCAAGACCCTGATCCTGTTCAGAGAAAGGAAGATTGCTGCCAGGAATGCTGATGAGAGCAGAGGAACAAAGCAATATACACTGGGAGACCGCATGCTTGTTGGAGAGACATTTGTTCTGTTCAGAGTCAACAGCGGATGAAAAGCAGACCCGGGTCGGTAAGATTGTGCACGCACCTCATTTCAGTGTTGGCGCCTAGAAACTGAGTCCAGGCCTATAGTTAGTTAGTTAGGGTCTCTGTTTGTGTCAGGCCACAAGTGTTATTACTGGTCATTGGAAGGACTCCATAACGTAAAGTGACATTTCACATTGGAGAGCTGATAACATCCCACAAACTCAAGCCAGACTGACGTTTTGCTCAGAAGGAATACTCAGGCACGTGCTACAGGACCAGTTATGGGAGAGGGAATACTGTAGATTTGTGTAAGATTGTAAGCTGTTGTGCTGCACTGCAGGCTAGTCCATACCGTACACCCATACACTGATTCCTGCTCTTTTAGGGTAATAACGGGTAAGGTGTGGCAGCTTATTTGTGCCTGCCAGTAGGTAAATTACTACACCTTCTACCTTCATCCATCAGGAGGTGCCGTGCTGTGCAGCACAAGGGTCTCAGCCTTCGGGCTGGGTGTATGTAAATTTATTGTATGTTCTCAGCATTTGTGGTTGTGTTTATTTGCCACATCTAAGTAAAATTCTGTTGTGGCAAAAGCTGGTGTTGGGGTTGCTTTCCTCGTTCGTGACTTCACTGTATCCCGGGGAGCGCACCCTGGTACACGGCTTACAAAATTACTGGATTTCATATACTGTACATCTGTAAGAGTACAGATTTCCTTTGTAGATCATGCATTTTCTGAATTCACTTTCAAACCACTTAAGGTTGGATAATGATCAATGTATGGAACTTCGGTAATTTTCAGTTTGAATTCATTCAAGTTTAGTTTTCTATTCTACTATATACTTCTGTCCAGAATTATGTCATCTCCTGATCATAGTCTTAGGTGCAAACTCCAGGTCATCGCTTTCCAAAATGAATATAACATCATCTGCTATTGTTTTGATGCGAGAGCATCCTTCTAGGACTTTATTTAACTTTTGTCGAAAAACATCTGTAGTAGGATTTGCTCTCATTGGTAATCGAATCAAAGACACCTTCTAAATGTAGTAGAAAATGTTGTTCACTAGATTCATCATCTATTTTTTTGACAGAATCACATATACATGAAAACATTATAGGTTTTGGTAAATCAGGTAACATAATCTTCTCTTGCAGCTATTAGGTAAAGGTTCCTTTTTAGGTCTTTGTTCGATGGTTTGGGGTCCATGTACTGTATATTCTTAATCAACCTGATGGTTCCTTTGCTATCACTAAACTGGTTACTAAATCTGTTCTGTTGGTACTAAATGTGGTGTCATATGACCCTCTTTTCCGCCTTGTCCAATCAGAGAGTACCATGTCCTAGACTGAGCTGCAAAATGATCCCTCATGCTAGACATTTCAGTGTCTTCCTCCTGTCTTTGAACAATATGTATGATGTACAGTACTGAACTTGCAGGAAGCTTTTGTCTTATGTTACCTTTAAGAGATACTGCACGCCCAGTACCATTAGTTGGACCTTCATTCATTTTCAGATTGGCTTTTGTTAGTTCAGAGGATCTACACATCTGAAAGCATTTTGGGGACCTTCTTTTCTTAATGGTCTCTATCTAATGTGAGACTCCCCAATACCATATCCATTTGAAGAAGACCAAGCCTTTTCCAGCACTTTTTTTACGGGTAACAATCAGTGTTTTTTGCTAGAAAATTTCTTAGAACCCCCAAACATTATATATTTTTAAAGCAGAGGCGCTAGAGAATAAATTGGCGGATTTTGCAGTTTTTTATGTAACATGGTATTTGTGCAGAGGTTTTTAAAAAACGTTATTTTGGAAAAACTACACTTTTTAATTGTAATGCAAAAAAAAAACCCCCACAAAACAAACCACATTTTTTGGTAAAATATAAATGTTACGATGAGTAAATAGATACCAAAAA